GATGAGCTATTAAGTGGGGTACTCCATGTCAAAGCTTCATGCCTTGCCAAGGACCAGACATTTTTCACTCAAAAAGCCACGTGGATGTATCATGTGGCCACGCAGGCCTGGCCAAGGACAGACCCAACAAGCATTTCATCCCTGTCTCTATTCTGGGTCTTCTGAGGCCACGTCAGAATTGGCCACGCTGCGCCCTGGCGTTTTGGTCTCTCCTTCCCCCATCACAGGCTCACGTTGGCTCTTCTCACGTACAGCCCCCTTTCCTGTCCTGAAATGTGTTCCTGCCTTAAAAATCTGCAATGACTAGGCTGCTGTCCATCTAGCTGATCAAAAGTCTCATATCTATAAAATTCTGTCTGCTGACCGTCTTGTCTTTGACCATATTGGGGCAGGGGCTGACTATTTGTTTCGGGTTTGTACAGCACCTAACACAAAAGGCTTTGATCTACAACCAGGGCTTATGTAGACATTATGGAAGTGATTCTCAACCAAGGTGCCCTGGCACCCTGAGGAGTCTTAAGATCCTTTGAAGGGTGTCACCCAATGTCGGCGCTGAGGTGTGCAAACACGATTCACAAGGTAAGCCCAGAGATTTTAAATAGGAAACCATAATGTTAAGAACATCCTGATCTGTTGTGGTGGTTCTGAGTTCTTTGCAAGGGAAGAATGCTATTAATTTTTCTGTTGTCAAAAAATAAGTGCATCCTAAGAGCTGGCATTTTCCAAGGGGTGCCTTGAGCCTATCAAGGGGTCATGTGCGCTTAGAAAGGTTGAGAACCACTACACTATGGCAAGTCAAATAATAACAGCAACAAGAGAGGCCCAGATCGGACATCCAACGTGCTACAAGGACAGCCCAGTCCCATTTTCCTACTAACTCACTTCCCCAGAGTGAGCCAAAGGCTTTATGTATTCCTCAGCAGGCAGTCATGGGATTATTTGTCGGCCAATCCATCTGTAACACAACATGCCCAACATCTACCAACTCCTGGTGTGAAGAGACCAATTTCTGACAGTGAACTGGGATGCACGCATGCACCCAAGGAATCCAGCTACTGCTTCTTGCAGACGAGCCAGAAGATGAGCACCGACAGCAAATACGCCCACAACTAATTGTATCCTTAGCTCCTCCAGTGCTACACCAGGTGATTTCACCAGTAAGCAAATACATCTTACTTTTGTGACTTGACCTAAATCCAGTAAAAGATCAGATCCCAAACACAAGCAAAGCCGCTGATGCAGCATCATCTCACCACCATACATGCTTACTCTCTAAGGAGGAGGGAAGCCAGTTTGGTGATTAAAGCAATGATCTGGGACTCAGGAGGCCCCCTCTCCAGCATCCATTCCTCAGCTCTGCCCCAACAAAGTTTGTTTTTATGGATTGTAACACTGCGCATTGGGATAGGTTGGGTGAAATGAAGACGGCTTCCACTCATCTCTGAAGCATCCTGGCATTAGAGACAGAGGAATAATAGATGTGGATACGGACAAGGTATTAAACTGCTGCAGCACAGCAAATGAGGTATGGGAAGTTATATCTTTTTAATGATCTCTTTTCTCCAAGTTAATTAAAATTTTAAAAACTTCAAACCAGAAAGGTACCTCAACAACTACAGAGACCAGGACTAAAGAGGCCCTAATAATCTAGCATTGAGTTTATGATAAAATCATCTCTGGAGTCTCCCTCAGAGTTTACACTATCGATCAAGATATTCCTTTCAATTAGACTTGTGTGCACCGATACAAGACAGCCACATTACATACATAAACTGTATGCTTAGATACATAAATTGCAATGAAGTGGTTTCTTTATTTTGAGACAAAACCAGCAAGAATTATATGCTGCATTAAACATTTTCCCCCATCATCCTTTCTTCTAAACTGTCTGAAAGATCAATTAAAGTGCTTTTGCGCACAGCAGGCAAAGACAAGCATTTTCCAAAAAAAAAAAAAAAAGACGCTATTCTCTTTGGCTTTAATATGGTGTCTGAGAAAAAAAAAACAACAACACAAGTATAATGGTTTAAAGATTCCCTTAGTGGGGGAAAAAAATAACTGCTGAACGCTCAATCATCTATTTAGAAGGATCAAAATGGATTTCTCTAGTCTTATACTGCTGGCAAAATTTTAAGCATTTTATACAAAATGTTAATGTGCAAAAGAAAACAGAACAGCTTTTTCTAGCATTGCACAAGATTAAAAAGTGCAAGTTCACCCATTACACAGACAAATACCAGTTTTACATAACAAATGGCTCCAAACATCTATTTATCGTTTCCTTTGATGACTTTCCAAGCTATCCCTCCATATATTTTAACGTGTTCCTCACTTGCAAATATGCAAATGTAACACCCCTCTCTACCACAGTTCTCTTTTTATCCAATACAGACTTTTTTTTTTTTTTTTAATACCGCTCAGCCCACATGCCTCAACCTGACATGGGTAGACACATCAGTGATGAAACATAGAGCATCATTTAGCTCCATCTTTGGTCTTGCAGGAATTAACCATACTGGTGGAGTATTAAGGTAGACGCATGTCCCCTGGAAGAAGACTCAGACTCACCAACCCATCTCATCTCCTAACGATGGCAATACTTTTTGGTTGCAGACCACCTGAAGCCAAGGATGGAATTGGTAGTCTCTTTATTTTATCTCCAGTCTCCTATCCCAACCAGTCCATCATCCATGTTCAACTATTTTAGACACAAAAATAAAATAATGAAGCAAAATACCAGTTTAGGTGGTAGCAGTGACTGACGCATCTCATTCTTTAATTGTGCCTTCCAGGGATGCAATGCAAGGGAATTTTTGCTAGAGGTGCACCGATACATCAGTCCATATCGTATCGGCACCAAAATAAAGGAAGCACAACATTTTCGGCAATCGGCTTTTTTTGGTTGAGGTGGCTGATAATGTCGCTGATAAATGATGTGTGCAGCCTGACAGCTTGGAGAGCACCGTCAGGCTGGTAAGTCTGTGGGGGGGCAGGGACGGAGGGGAGGGGAGGTCAGATTGAGGTCCCTGCGGTGAGGGAGGGACTGGGGCTGCCCAGCCAGGGCGGGGTGCCAGACAGAGCCATGGGTGGCTTGTTCGGGGGGGGGGAGAGGTGTTCCTTCCACTATGCGTACCCCCAAGGGAGCCATGGGGGACGTGTGCCCCCGGATCTGTGCACGGGATAAGGGCAGGCTACCACTGCAGGCTGAGGTTGGGGGCAGCACTGGTCTCGCCCAGGCAGAGGAATTGGGCCAGGGCTATGCTCAGGGTGAATGGTGGCGGTGCTGGGAGGGGGGGGCACAGTGAGTTCTGGGGTGGCTGTAGCCTACCCTGTAGCCCCCTCTCAGGGCTGCTGCCGCCGGCCCCAAGCACACCCCCAGCCCTATTCTCTCCCCCTTCCCGCCTGGAAGAACCCAGGACCGCCCCCAGGACCAGCCCACAGCAGCAGCCTGCCCTCACCCCACATGCAAATCAAGAGGGCATATTCCCCCTGTGCTTACCCTGGGGGTGCGTGCAGCAGTGGGAGCTACCCCTCCCCCTCCCCCCAACAAGCCACTCGCGGCTCCATCCTGCGCCCAGCCCCAGCTGGGCAGTGCCTGCCCCTGCCCCACTTCCTCCCTCACCGCGAGGGCCTCGATCTGCCCTCCCATGCCCCTTACTTCCAACCAAGTTACCAACTAGACGCTGCTCTCTGGATCAGTATCGGCCAATATGGCTCATTAATAAACGGCCATCGGTATCAGCCCAAAAAAATCTTTATTGGCGCACCCATAAATTCTGCCATTTGTAAACTGAGTGCTGGCATCTGAGCCCCAGCTGTGCCAAAAGAAGAACTTTTTCCTGCCTCCCCCCTCTTGCCAATCACTGTGCTAAGGAGGCCAGTTCAATAAATAAGGCAAGAGAGGAACTGTCCCAATTAACGGTTCAGAATCTCAGCTCTTGGAACCTCAGCAGTAAACGGCTTTGCACCAACATGTCAAGTAAAATCCCAGAGGTCCTTTGCAAGGCAATGTAATTTGATAGCAAAAACTATATGTGAAATTCTCAATTACTATCCACCCAGCATTGATAGAGGTCACTCAGTTTACTTTAAAAAAAAAAAAAAAAAAAGTGTCAAAAACCAATGAAACCTGGGCAACAGCCTAATGATTCAGGTTATTAAGGAAGGGCTACTCCTGAAGTGAAAATCTGACATGGTTTTGATAATCATCTTGCCAGTAAAAAGAAGGATGAGACAGAGAAACTATCCAGTTTCCCATTCAATTAAAAGCTGGGGTGATAGCTAGCCAGAAAGCTTAAAAAAAGAGAGAGATGTGCAAAAGCCACTTAAGGCCAAAGCATGGCATTTGTATGCTGTATAGATTGTTAAATTTGACAGGTCATAGTCTAATTGAAGCCAGTGAGAACAAGATTAGGATTGCAAGAATAAGACTTCATTGGCCACAAAATGGGTTTGCCCATGAAGGCCGCAAAAATAATCCTTTTGAAGTTGGAAACTAAGCTGCAATATGCCAGCTGATCAGAAGGGGGAGATGGTGCCTAGAGATTTAATTCAATCCTGTTACTGTATAAGCAGTTTTGGGTGGAGAATATGCAAATTGCTAAAGCAGAGGCAGTGCCAGGCTCAGAACAATTTAGACAGTAGAGGAAGCTAGAACTAGGTGGACAGCAACTGCAGAGCTCGGAGAGCCAACCATTCAAGATGCACCAAAACGGCAAGGCATGAAAATGAACCGGTAGCAGAAAATAAAGCTCATCCTATAGGCAAATGACCACCATCTCTTCAGTGCCTGGGAGAGATGAACCAAGACGCTGAACACGACACTTTAAATACAAATGCAAAGCAAGAGTCATGATCCACCTGGGAACCGAAACTCTCAGAGCAGCATGGTCCAGAATAGAAACCCTGGAAATGTAGCAAGGACCATCAGAGTGTCTTGATCAAAAGACTGCGTAGGAACCACAGGGAAAACAGGAGGGAATGAGAGGAGACAAGCTAACCTTGAACTCATGGAGCAGAATCTGGAAACAGTAAAAGCAGTATGAATTTCCTTTGGCAGGGAGTGAGACTCAGTGGTATGGTGTGGTATCTGAAAACCACTCTGATTTCTGCTCAATCGATATGATTTGGAATTGACTGGACCTGGAACACAAAATATATTAATAAATAAAAAAAGAAAACCACTTCAGCTGCAGGAACTCATTAGTTATTATATTGGTATAACCACTATTGTAATCATGCCCATGTTGGGCAAATGGGAAATAAATTGAATATGGCACCACTAAATGGAGCAATGAACCGTTCAAGTTTTTCTTTCCCATTAATTTCATTAACACGTTGTAAGTTGCACATCAGTTATTAATCAGGGAGCATAACTAGTGAAAAAGGCTGTGCTGCCTATTATTTATTGCATGCCGAAAGAGCAGTATGTGACGGCATGCACCTCTCCCTCACATCATGGGATGAGACAGGTCAGCAATGAGGAAATCCTGTATAAAATATACTGACTTCAAAGACACTGAAGTTGAGACGTGTAAGGAGAACTAGGTGTTCAGGCAATCTGACTCCAAGAATCTCCTTCCAAAACTTTATTTTCTTTGCGTTCGGGTCTATTCCAAAAACAGCAGATCAAAGAGCACAGGATGAAACCGCATCTCCTGAGGTCAGGTGCAAACAAGGAGGAAACAAAGAACAATGCCACTTGTGATACAAAGGACCAGATTAGTCGTCATAAGGACAAAGCCACGCTGTTTCCCCTGAAC